GGTCTGTGAAAGTTCTTAACCTGAGGGGTCCCTCCACACAATTTAAGAACCCAACTTTACACCAATACTTTTCAAATGGAGCTATTTTGCACTTCCTGCCATGCCTCCTGGGCTTCAAGTGACTGCAAACATTGCCTATATTGAAGAGTGCAGACGATAAGTGGGTCACTCGAGCCAATATTGCAACTGGCGATCAAAGAGGTGGAGCCCAGGAGTTGAATCACGCCCTGTAAGAAGCACTTAAGAGGTGATCAGGTCAACAACTTGAGATGGGTGAGGAATGTGTGGAATGTTGTGACCGAGGTGGTGAAAGTGGCCAGCGTCCCCCTCCCCCCTTAACAAACCTTTCACTTTCTCTCTCTCTCTGTGCTTTCTTGGTGCCAACACTGACCCAACCTTTCTCCCCCCACCCCTTCCCCCCATCTGCCTCCCCCCCTAACCATCACCCCCCCATCTGCCCCCCCCCCCCCCGCCCCTTACCTTCACCCTCATGGCCCTTCCAGCGATATCATAACTCTCACTTTGGATTCACTACGCCGCTAGGTTAGGGGAAAGTGAGAGTGAATTTGTGTGTGTGTGTGTGTGTGTGTGTCTGTACTCACCTAGTTGTGTTTGCGGGGGTTGAGCTCTGGCTCTTTGGTCTCGTCTCTCAACCGTCAATCAATAGGTGTACAGATTCCTGAGCCTATTGGGCTCTATCATATCTACACTTGAAACTGTGTATGGAGTCAGCCTCCACCACATCTCTTCCTAATGCATTCCATTTGTCAACCACTCTGACACTAAAAAAGTTCTTTCTAATATCTCTATGGCTCATTTGGGCACTCAGTTTCCACACACACAGTTTGTGTGTGTGTGTGTGTGTGTGTGTGTGTGTGTGTGTGTGTGTGTGTGTGTGTGTGTGTGTGTGTGTGTGTGTGTGAAAGGGAGTGAGAGGGATCGATAATAACCTATATAGTAACTTCTATTGTACATTATGGTACTTTCCTCAAACGTACCAAAATGTACGTTTGTACCCCTGAAAAGATATCTTTCTCTTGCCCAAATGACAAGTACTTTAAATTGGAACCATACCTGAGGACCCATAGTGTAGCGTGGCCAAGTAGTCCTACGCTTAGTACACGCTATCTTGGGCCCTAATATAGTACATATCTTTGCTATATTACACACAAGATTAAATTTGGGATTTTAGCCATTTTTCTCCGATTCTATAAAATTGATCGTATTCAATGTGAACTTTTTGGGATCCAAGAGAACATATTGGTACCTTTGACCAAATAGTTACTATAAACACTATACTTATTTTAAGTACTTTAGTTACTATACTATAATTGCTATAGTTACTATACACTAATTATTATAGGTACTATAGTCATTATAAGTACTATAGTTGTTATAGATACTATAGTTAATATACTTAATATAAACACTATAGTGTAAGAAATGTAAATTCATTTTTTCTCATGGCAAAAGACTCGATACATTGATGAGAGAGAAGGATCGGTGTCCGTTGCATGGATCAGTGTTGACAACTGTTGCTGAAGGCCCGTGAGAATGGCGCCCTCCAGGCAGCAGCTAGGGCGCGCATGCGTAAGGCTCCGTTAAAAAAAATTTCTTTCATTTTTTTGACCAGATCACACACTACAAGGTGAAGGGACGACAACGTTTCGGTCCGTCCTGGACCATTCTCAAGTCGATTGTGTTTTTTTTAAATTTTGCCCCGAGGGGCGAGTTTATTGGGCAGCGCCACTCATCCTGTGAGTGGACACACCGCCATAGCAGCATGTACAACACTCCCCAATAGGAAGAAAACCCGCTGGGCTCCGTTAACAATGGCGGAGCTTCCTGCCAAAATTGAATAAGAACGGTGTTATGAGTATAAACATTTCCGTCTACATTCGGTGGCTTAAAGTTATGACAGGAGTTTAGTGTTAAATGTTGACATACAGTATAGCAAGTAATATATGTTCTGTGAAGTATTATATACGTTGATGAAGATCATTTGTGTGGTGGATGTTGAGTGTGTTGAGTGAGGGGTTCACTGAAGACACCGTGCTAGTGTGACCTTAGTATTACACTCACGTCTTAGCCTCACCCTTGCGCAAGGGCCCGGTGCTAGATGATGTGTTAAGGAATTTACATAGAAGGAATAATATTGATTCCTGTCGGTTTCACAGATCCTCTTTACTCTGTCTTCTGGATTTGACTTTTTTCATAGTCTTCCGTCTTCTCGGAAGAGAGATATCTTGATATATATCATCTTGATCGTGAAGAACATCCCGACACTTTCTGCGCGCTCTCTGATGTCAGGGACCAGATGCTGGGGCCCGGGTTACATTCTCGGACATGACAAAGACGTTAGAACGTGTTTCCTTCCATCTGATACATCTGTTCACCTAGCGGTAAGTAGTAGGCACGCGGGAGTTAGGCATCAGGGGATTAAACTCAGATCCGTGGATTGTGTGTGCCAAGGACCACTGTGCTACAGGATTCACTAGAGACTGAGACGTACTACAGGGATGCGGGGAAGCCTGTGTGCCTGTTCGTGCGTGTGCGCGCGCGCGCGCGTGTGTGTGTGTGTGTGTGTGTGTGTGTGTGTGTGTGTGTGTGTGTGTGTGTGTGTGTGTGTGTGTGTGTGTGTGTGTGTGTGTGTGTGTGTGTCCAGCCCATCCTCCTAAAATTTCCCATCGTCAAGAAAACGGACAATTTAAAGTGTCCTCTCCTAACCTACCAGAGAACCCAAAACAGAAAACGGGGCAGTACGTCATTTTCACCAGCCGCTTCCAGTTTCTAGTACGAGAATTCTTGGCCTGAAGTAACTCATACGAGCGAAATGTGACGTTGTGTGTAAGAGGAGAGGTTAGTGTGTGGCAGTGCAACCCGTTCTCGCACTTGTGTATAGTCAATATTGGCTTATTAAATAAGTGCATATGTGACATACTAATTTATTGTGAATATTTTAGTTTACCTTGAAAAGCTTCATAGAAAACACCGACCTTACCTAACCTTCTTAGTATGTTAAGATAAGCATCTTATTGCTTCTTAATTATAATTATTACTTAACCTATACCTATATTAGGTATATACCTATAATTATATAGGTATAATAACTACAATTATTACTTAACCTATACCTATAATAGGTTAAGTAATAATTGTAATTAAGAAGCAATAAGATGCTTATCTTAACATACTAAGAAGGTTAGGTAAGGTCGGTGTTTTCTATGAAGCTTTTCAAGGTAAACTAAAATATTCACAATAAATTAGTATGTCACATATGCACTTATTTAATAAGCCAATATTGACTATAAGCAAGTGCGAGAACTAGTTGGGCAGTGTTGAACACTTAGTGAATAACAAGGTGACGGAGGACACCCTTGCTCCATACACAGTTTCATCAGTTGATATGAGACGAGGCAACAGTTAAGTCATTTATTACGCGCCCCAAACCTGTCCCGCGATTGCTCAGAGACAATCCAAGATGATGGTAATGTTTAAGATTCGCTACTGGGAACAAAAAGTTCCAAGAAGCACTGGCTATGGTGAGCCCGTAGTGGACTTGTAGCTGGCACAGGAGCGGGGCTGTGCAATCCAAGATAGTGATCAATTCTTTACGAGCAAATGTTCAGGCTAACTCATCGGATTATTGGCATCAGATCACACCTACAGATACAGACTCGGGGAACAGGAGCTGAAGCTCAACCTTAGCAAATTCAACAAGCAAAAAAATAATAATAAACATATGCCATTAAGATCTGTAGGTGCCATTACCTGGACAGTCTTTGATGGCTGGGTGGTTCGCTGCGCTAATTGGCTATGCCAATAGAATAATAACTAGGCGCTCATTGGCTAATGGCACGATTATCTAACTGCTGCCACTTTTCTCTCACTAACCAGCCTGTTCTAAGCTTTCCCAACGTCTGTCGGGAAAGTGCTGTCGTACTAAAGTGCCCCCTTATCCTAACCTGCCAGAGGACCCACAACAGAAAACGGGACAGTATGTCAATTTCGGGAGCCGCTGCCATGTTCCAGCACGACGATTTGTGGCCCTAGGTGGAGTATACGTCAAAATGCGACGTTCTATAAGGAGGCCGGGATGACCTACCTTGAGGTGCTTCCGGGGCTTAGCGTCCCCGCGGCCCGGTCGTCGACCAGGCCTCCTGGATGTTATCGTGTGAGATCCAGTAATTGACATCAAATTGCCCAACGTGTTCAACTGGATGTTTGTTCTCCTTGTTCATGTTCTTACATTTGTTAGTGTTATTGTGTTTCTCACCTTCCTCTGTTCTTGTTCATCTTCCTCCTCCCTCTTGGACCTGTACTGTTCAACCCTGACATGTTATTACCACACTCTCCACGGTGGTGGTCAGTAAATGTTGTACTGGATGGGGTACCCGGTGGTGCCCGGGTCTCCACCCTCTAGGTTCCCCTTCCTCTTGCCCCTCTCCCACCCCTACCATTCCTCCTCCCCCCAGTTACCCCTCCTCCCCTCTCCCTCTTCCCCCCTCTCCTTTCCCTCTCCCTCCCTCTCCTTTCCCTCTCCCTCCCTCTCACTTTCCCCTCTCCGTTTCAGAAAATTTATCGCGAATGGCTGAAAAACTTCTATACAAATGTGCTGGAAAAATAAATCCAATATTTCAGATCATGAAAAGGATAGGGAAGGGGGTCGATATAGAAGCGGATATTTCTTGAAAGGGAGGCACTGGGGCCGATCCCGACTGGCCTATGATTCTCCAATCCCACTCATGTGTCATATTGTAAAGTTTGGCGAGTCCCAAGTGTCCGACCTCCAGCCTTGGACGGACACACACACACACACACACACACACACACACACACACACACACACACACACACACACACACACACACACACACACACACACGCTGCAGGTGGACCCAGGAAATATGATGCATGGAGGAGGCGGCGAGATGATGAGTGCTAATAGTGTTAATGTAGTAATGACGTGTTAAGACAGTGTTCCTCTCTGGTGTTCCCACAGCTGGTGTCGGAGCTTGGGGTCCTGCTGTACCGAGCCCTCGACTACAGCCTGGCCAGCGATGAGGAGCGTGACCTCTCACCTTCCCTTAATCACCTTATTGACCTCATGACATCCGCAGGTGAGTCACTTTATCGCATTATCTTCACCCACTCAACACAAACAGTTAAATAGGGTACCTGGTTATTTTTTATGTGAATAAGTCATTCCTTCAAGTGGGTTTGTGTGTGTATTATTGTACCGTATTTTGTGGGTGGACTGGGGCCAGATTCACGAAAGCACTTACGCAAGCACTTACGAACCTGTACATCTTTTCTCAATCTTTGGCGGCTTTGTTTCCAATTGTTAAACAGTTAATGAGCTCCGAAGCACCAGGAGGCTGTTTATAACAATAACAACAGTTGATTGGCAAGTTTTCATGCTTGTAAACTGTTTAATAAATGTAACCAAAGCCGTCAAAGATTGAGGAAAGATGTACACGTTCGTAAGTGCTTGCGTAACAGCTTCGTGAATCTGGCCCCAGGTCTCTTTCTTGACCTTTCGCGGTGGTTGACCTCTTCCTCCTCCTCCTCCTCCTCCTCCCATATATGCTGGTTAGCATTGTAAATGTGTGGCCACGTCTGTGGTAGAAAATAATAATAATTAAAAAAAAAAAAAACTGACCCATCCCTACTCCTTTGGCCACACTGTCCTATGTGGCCACGTTAGTGTTGGAGTGAGGGATGTGGCCATACTACACCACGTGGCCACACTGTCCTATGTGGCCACGTTTGTGTTGGAGTGAGGGATGTGGCCATACTACACCACGTGGCCACACTGTCCTATGTGGCCACGTTTGTGTTGGAGTGAGGGATGTGGCCATACTACACCACGTGGCCATACCTCATGTTGTCCTGGGTAAATATGGGCTGTAACCCCATGTTGCCATGGTCTAGTAAGGGCCATATACGTGGTTATGTCAAGTATGAGGGCCTCGTAGCCTGGTGGATAGCGCGCAGGACTCGTAATTCTGTGGCGCGGGTTCGATTCCCGCACGAGGCAGAAACAAATGGGCAAAGTTTCTTTCACCCTGAATGCCCCTGTTACCTAGCAGTAAATAGGTACCTGGGAGTTAGTCAGCTGTAACGGGCTGCTTCCTGGGGGTGGAGGCCTGGTCGAGGACCGGGCCGCGGGGACACTAAAGCCCCGAAATCATCTCAAGATAACCTCAAGATAACAAGTAGTTACTAACCAACATACTTATAGTATATTGCTTTAAATATTTACTTGAGTTGTTACTTTGTTGTTTTTTGTACCCAACTGGTTAGTATCATGTTGAAATAATTCAAGAGTTAAGTAGTTATTGGTACTTCCTGTGAGTGTATGAGGGTGTGCGCGCGCGTCTGTATAGAAGAAAATGGGAATTAATTACTCCCAGTTTTGTAACTTTAAAGGGAACTGGAAATGGTTGATAAGTGAATGATGGACTCCAGTGAAAGTGTAAATATAGGAGCGGGCGTGACTATGGTCGGCAGTTAGGGTATATTGGGGTGTTTACACTCATGCTTGTCAACGTGGAAAATAAGTCACACTAACGTGTGACTTATGGCAAAAAATGAAATTTAAAAAACGGAAACCATGTATAAAACTGAATCAAATCACACTATTAAACGAAAGAGCAATGTAAAGGATCTAGTTATAATCATGTCAGAAGACCTTACCTTTACAGAACACCATAAAGTAGCTGTCACAACTGTAAGAAAAATGACAGGTTGGATAACAAGGACCTTCCAAACAAGAGATGCCATACTAATAATGATACTTTTAAGACACTAGAGCTCTCTAGGGTGGAGTATTGTTGCACAATGACAGCCCCATTCACAGCCGGAGAAATTACTGACCTGGAGAGCGTGCAAAGATCCTTTACTGCTAGAAACCACTGTTTAAATGATTTTAATTATTGGGACCGATTAAAAGTTTAAATCTGTATTCTCTTGAGCGCAGGCGGGAGAGATACATAATAATCTACACGTGGAAGATAGTAGAGGGGCTGGTCCCAAACCTGCACACAGAAATAACACCACAGAGACCAGAAGACATGGCAGGATGTGCAGTTTAAGAGCAGAGGTGCAACAGGTACTCTGAGAGAGAACTCTATCAACATCAGAGGCCCGAGACTGTTCAACACTTCCACTACACATAACTGGCCGACCTCATAGTGTTCAAGAGAGACCTCGAAAAGCACCTCCAAAGAATATATGATAAACTAGGCCGTGATACATACATCAGGCTGCGAGCACCCGCGTCCAACAGCCTTGTTGAGCAGATGACCAACCGGGAGGCCTGGTCGGAGACCGGGCCGCGGGGCCATTGATTCCCGGAAGCTCCACAGGGTAAACACAAGGTAAACGTGGGTGAAGACATCATATGACTCTAAGGGACAGAATCAATGTGTGTCACTTACGCACATGCTTAAGGTACGTGTTAGTCAGCTGTCACGGGCTGCTTCCTGGGGGTGGAAGCCTGGTCGAGGACCGGGCCGCGGGGACAAATCATCTCAAGATAACCTCAAGATAAGGTCGTCGTTTCTTCATTTTCTGACGTGTGGCTTGGATGTGAAACCAGGCTTGATTCCAGGAGTCATTGTCACGGTGAGGATAGTTTGTGTATGTACGTTAACACGTTAAGCATGTACGTTGTTGTATGTTAAGATGCCGGGGCGCCGTGTTGATCCCAGTCCTCCAGACATGTGACTACTGCCTTGTGGCGCATGTGCTCTGTCCTGCAGGGTGATGGCCTCTACTTCTCTCTACCAACAACGTTCTGGCGGATGTGGTGGGGGTTGATACCTGGTTGATACCTGGTTGATAACTGGTTGATGGGGTTCTGGGAGTTCTTCTACTCCCCAAGCCCGGCCCGAGGCCAGGCTTGACTTGTGAGAGTTTGGTCCACCAGGCTGTTGCTTGGAGCGGCCCGCAGGCCCACATACCCATCACAGCCCGGATGGTCCGGCACTCCTTGGAGGAATAAATCTAGTTTCCTCTTGAAGATGTCCACGGTTGTTCCGGCAATATTTCCTATGCTTGTTTGTAGATTCCAAAAGATCCAAGTAGCACGAGCTGTGGTGAGCCCGTAGTGGACTTACCTGGCACAGGAGCAGTGCTGTAACTGTGTGTGGGGGGGGGGGGGGGGGGGCGGGAGATGTGGTGGGGGAGGCAGTGAAGTACTGTGTGGGGGAGGAGAGAAGGTGATATGGGGAGGCGTGTGTGTTGGGGGGATAGGCAGGGGTTATGGGGGTTGGGGCACCAACAAGAAGAGGTGAAACGCGGCAACGCCTGAGGTTGGGGGTGAGGTCACCTCATGGTGAGGGAGAGAGGGAGGCGGAATGTGTCAGAGAGTGCAGGAGATCCTTCCCTGTGCCCCAGGTGTTGGTCGTGTAAGCACTAAAGCCAGCAACGATGCCAGGGGTAGAAAGCAGAAGGGCTCGCTGCCAGGGGAGCCGGTCGGCCGAGCGGACAGCACGCTGGACTTGTGATCCTGTGGTCCCGGGTTCGATCCCAGGCGCCGGAGAGAAACAATGAGCACAGTTTCTTTCACCCTATGCCCCTGTTACCTAGCAGTAAAATAGGTACCTAGGTGTTAGTCAGCTGTCACGGGCTGCTTCCTTGGGGTGGAGGCCTGGTCGAGGACCGGGCCGCAGGGACACTAAAGCCCCGAAATCATCTCAAGATAACCTCAAGATAGCCACTGTCGTTCCCTCCCTGGAAATACAAACCGTAACTGTCTCTATTTTCCGCTTGTTACAACTTGTAATAAAGTTGTTACATCTTGGCTTAACGTGTTTATAACGCATTAGAACGTTGTTACAACTTGCTATATTGGTTGTTATGACTGGGTAGGTGGTGTTAGAAACTTGTTCGAACGTTGTAGCAACGTCGTAGTTTCGGTGTGTGTTTGGCGGGCTCAGGCAGAGTGAGTGACGCTGCTCGTCTCCTGGCCATTCCTCTGGTTCCAGCTGGGTTGTTATGGGGCGAGGAAGGTGGTTATCTTGAGGTTATATTGAGATGATTTCGGGGCTTTTAGTATCCCCGCGGCCCGGTCCTCGACCAGGCCTCCACCCCCAGGAAGTAGCCCCGTGACAGCTGACTAACACCCAGGTACCTATTTTACTGCTAGGTAACAGGGGCGTAGGGTGAAAGAAACTGCTCAATGTTTCTCGCCGGCGTCTGGGATCGAACCCAGGACCACAGGATCACAAGTCCAGCGTGCTGTCCGCTCGGCCGACCGGCTCCCTAGTGGTGGTGGCACTATTGTTAGTCTCTCTCTAGTGCTATTGTTTACCAGTATAATGATCTCTCTCTCTGGGTACTCACTCTTAGCTATTGTTAGTCTACACACACTACGCCAGTTATAGTGGGGGGGGGACCTTTGTTGTTGTAGGGTACTGGTGTTTACCTAACAGTGACCGTGGAGAAGTAAGGTCTAGCTCTTCTGCTTCGCCTGCTAGACTTGTTGTGGCTCTTGCGATATAATTGAGATTCTCTGAGTGTAATGAACTTGTTGACCACCCTTACTGTATTTCCACTATTAGTTTTAGTTTAGTTCATTTATTATGCACCCCATACCCATCTTGTGGGCGGTAGTGGAAAGGGTTACAGAGGCACATAATGGGCTCAGGGACTGAACCCCACAGTTCATTTAGCTAAGCAAGCCACTATTTCCATACATTTCTTCAACTCATTTATGTCCAGCTTCCACTTGTGGCCTCTTCTACTTTTACTCAATTTATAAAAGCTGTCTTTTTTCCGCCTTGCCTCTTCAAATCGATATCTTGCATGTTGTGATCATGTCATCTGTTTCTTCTCTTCTCTAGGGTTGAGAGATTTAGTTCCGTATATATTGGAAGTTTTCAATTTCAGTTTTCAATTTCAGTTTCGGACTTTACAAGGTGCGAATGCCAGGCCTGTGCTACATATTCCAGTATTTGTCTAAGATAGGCTAATGTTTATTATTTTAGGCTTTATAAGAGTCGCTATTTAGGCTTTTAAATGCCGTTGTAATGTTTGTCAGCGTCTCACATGCCGCCGATGTTACTGCGTTTACGTGTGCCTCCGCTGCTGGCCTTGGAATGATCTCCACTCA